GGGGGTGCAGGGGGGGTCCCTGTGGTGCAAGGGGGGTGCAGGAGGTAGTAGCGGGTGCAGGGGGGGTTGCTGTGGTGCACAGGTGTGCAGGGGGTCCCTGGGGTGCAGGGTGCTCAGCAGGGTGCCCCCCCCCCCAGGGTGTCCCCCCAGGCCTCCCCTGCCCAGGGTGGGCCCCACTCCTGCCTCAACCCTCTTCACCTGCCGGCCCTCCCTGCTGGGGGTCCCAGGCGGCCCCCCCTGCCCAAGGGCTTCCCGTGGTTCCCTGTGCCCATCCCATCCCCATGGTACCAATCCTGTCCCCACGCCACCCGTCCCGTCCCCAGGCAGGCCGAGGCTCAAGCCATCGACCAGGAGCTCTTCAGTGACTACGGGTTCAGCGTGGAGCAGCTGATGGAGCTGGCGGGGCTGAGCTGCGCCACGGCCATCGCCAAGGTGGGCGCATCCCCCCGCATCCCGGCATCCTCCGCCCCGGAGCCGGACACATCCCCCCTGTCTCCCAGGCCTACCCGCCCAGCTCCTTCACCACGAGCCGGCCCGCGGTGCTCGTCGTGTGCGGGCCGGGCAACAACGGCGGCGACGGCTTGGTGTGCGCCCGGCACCTCAAAATGTTTGTGAGTGCCGCGCGGGCGGGAACGCCGGGAGCGCCGGAGCGCCCCGCGCCCGCGCTCAGCCCCCCGTCCTGCAGGGCTACGAGCCGACCGTGCACTACCCCAAGCGCCCCAATAAGCCCCTCTTCGAAGGCTTGAGCACCCAGTGCCAGAAAATGGGCATCTCCTTCCTGCCGGAATTCCCTGCGGAGGTAGGGCGGGCGGCGGCGGCGCGGGCGGCTGCTCCGCGGGCGGCTCCGCTCACGGCGCAGCCCGGCCCGCGGCAGGCGCCGCTCATCGACGAGCTCTACGGCCTCGTCGTGGATGCCATCTTCGGGTTCAGCTTCGCGGGAGCCGTGCGGGAGCCCTTCGGCACCATCCTGGACACCCTCAAGCGCGTCACCGTCCCCATCGCCAGCATCGACGTCCCGTCGGGTGAGGGGGCGCCGCGGGGACGTGCCCGGCGCGGGGCGCTCCGAGGGCCCCGCGCGGATGGAGACGCCGCTGTCCCCGCAGGCTGGGACGTGGAGAAGGGCAGCGCGGACGGGCTGCAGCCCGACACGCTCATCTCGCTCACGGCGCCCAAGAAGGCGGCGGCGCGGTTCCGCGGCCGCTACCACTTCCTGGGCGGCCGCTTCGTGCCCCCCGCGCTGCAGGACAAGTACGCGCTGAACCTGCCGCCGTACCCGGGCACCGACTGCGTGCAGCAGCTCACGTAGCGCCGCGGCCACGCCGCCGCCGCGACACGGCCACGCCGCCGGCGTGCGCCCAGGACACGGCTCTGCTGCCGCCCGCGCCGCTGCTCCGCAATAAAGATTTATTGATGCTCCTGAAGAGCAGCCCGTGCCCTCCCGGCCCGCGCGGGGGACCCGTTCGAGGCCGCCGAGCAGCGGGGCAGCCCTCGCGGGCGGGAAGGTCCAGTGGGTGGCAGCGCCGGCCCGTCCCCGGCAGCACCGGGAGCAGACGGGGCGGCTCCGGGGGCACCGGGTCCGGCCAGCGCCGCGGGGCTGGGGCTGGACCTGCTGGCCAGGCAGCCCCGGCACCCTTCACTCTGCCTCCTCCTCTTGCCTCCTCTTCCTCTTCTTCTTCTTCTTGGGGCTGTGCCCAGCGTGACCTGCCTCATCTGCCTCTTCTGCGGGTCCCTCTGTTGCGCTCTCCTCTCTCTCCACCAGTTCTCGGTGCTTCTTCTTTTTCTTTCTCTTCGTGACCTTCTCCTCCTCTTGTGCTCTGCTCTCCTCCCCGCTGGCCTCCTGCTCAGCCTCTCCTCTGTCCTCAGACTGTTTCTTTCTCTTCTTCTTCCTCCCCTTTTCTGCCGGGGGGCTGCTCCCCGGGGCCCCCGGCCTGTGCGCGGCCAGGAACTCCCGCTCCTGCTGCTCCAGGCGCGCCAGCTTGGCGCTCATGGTCAGGCCGTGCCGGGCGCCCCTGCAACGGGCCCAGGCGTCCGGCAGGCTCTGCCGAAGCCCCTGCGGGGGGGAGCCCGAGCGGGCAGCCCCTTCCCGGCCACTTACTTGTGCGCCGTGCGGCCCCCGCACGCTCGGATCAGCTCCTCGTCCGTGAGCCTGCGGGACGCACACGGGACGTCACCCAGGGCACGGGACGCTCCGCTCCTTCCCGCCAGCACAGCCTTGTCCCGCCGGAGCCGTCGTTAGCAGGAAGGGGATGCGAACGCCCCCCATCCCACCCGGCCTTGCCTGCTGGCCGAAGAGAGGTCCAGCTTGTCCTCGTCATCCTCCTCGTCGTCCTCGTCGCTGCGCTGCGGGGCGACGGGCGCCGGCGCGGCCTCCTCGCCGCGCGCCGTGAGCGTGGCCACCTGCGCGGGAGCGCGAGGCTGAGGAAGGGCTGGAGGAAGGCGCCCGCGCGGCGCCGCGGCGCTCACCTTCACGAAGCGGCCGTAGAGCAGCCCGGCGCCGGCGCCCGCCCGCCGCGGCCGCCGGGTGCTGAGCCCCGCGTCCCGCTCCTGCAGCCTCCTCACCGAGACGTCGCCCTAGGACGCGGAGCCGTCGCGGCCGCCGGGACCCCCACGCCGGGACCCCCGTGCCGGGCGGGGAGCGGGACCCCCCTGGTACCTGCGCCGCCTCTACGGCGATGTTGGCGGCCGACGCGTTGAAGACGTGGTCCCACCAGTGGAAGGAGAAGGGCTCGGCGGCGTCGTGGCCGAGCTGCGGGGCGGCCGCCGGCAGCGCTGCACGGGCGCCCCGGCCCGCCAGCCCAGCCCGTCCTGTCCCGTCCTGCCGCCCCGGCCCCTCCTGTCCCGCCACCTCGGACGGTCCCGTCCCATCCTGCCGTCCTGTCCCACCGCCCCATCCCATCCCGCCGCCCCATCCCATCCCGCTGCCCAGTCCCACACCCTGTCCCATCATCCCATCCCGCCGCCCGGTCCCGTCTCGTCCTGTCCCACCATCCTGTCCCACCGCCCCGGCCCCCCAGCCTGTCCTGCCACCCTTCCCACCCCGTTCCATCCCACCCTTCCCATCCCATCCGGTTCCAGCGGCCGGTGCCGTCCCACGCCGTCCCGCCGTCCACGCCGCCCGCTCACCCCGGCCGTGTCGCACTTGACGCGCACGCGGATGGCCTCGGCGATGCCGTCCTCGCGCTTGCCCAGCCCGCGCCCTGCGGACCGCGGGGCGTCACCGGGGCCCGGGCGGCAGCATCACCCCGGAGCCGGGGCGGGTACCGGTACCGGGGGGGTTGGGGCAGGCGGCCGGTGCAGAGCGGGGGCCGGTGATCCCCAATGGCACCTGGGGACCCCCGGGGGGCACCGGAGGGGGGCACCGGGGGGGGGCCGCACCTCGCTGCCAGCCGTGCCGCAGCAGCTGCCGCTCGGCGAAGCGCATCCCGCGGCCCTGCGGCGCCGGGGGGCTCATGGCGGCGGCACCGGGTCGGGAGCGGGACGGGACGGGACGGGACGGGACGGGACGGGGCTGCCGCCACGCGCCGCCGCCGCGCGCACTGCGCATGCGTGGCCCTGCGCGCGCACGGAGCGGGGCCGCGCGTGGGCGGGGCGGGGTCGGGGGCGGGGCTCGGGGGAGGGCGGAGCAAGAGGCGGTGGCGGAGGCCCGCGCATGCGCAGAGTGCGCGCCCCGTGCAGCGGCGGGTGGCGCGCTGTGCATTGGCCGAGCGCGGGGGTGTGTGGGGTGCGCGCGCCTATAGAGAGCCGCTCCTATGGATGGGGTGAACGCGCCTATAGAGAGCCGCTCCTATGGATGGGGTGTACACAAACCTATACACAGCTGCACCTATGGATGGGGTGTACACAAACCTGTACACAGCCGCTCCTATGGATGGGGTGAACGCGCCTATAGAGAGCCGCTGCGCCTATAGAGAGCCGCTCCTATGGATGGG